TCGTCTAATAATTTAGCAACGCCTCTAACAACTATTAATTAGTAATTTTAACAATGACCCTAACAAAAATTACTTAGAAACTTCTGTACTACTAACCACGCCCCTAAAATCCTTAGCAACGCCCATAACAGCATTTTTCTTAGCAACCTTAGTAACACCTCCGAGCAACCGTTGCCTAGTAACTTTAGTAACACCCCCTAGTAACCATTCCTTAGCAACCATAGTAACGCTGAACACGCCCCTAAAAATATTAGTCACGCCTATAACAATTATTTCCTAGCAACAGTGGCCACGCCTTTAGCAACTATTACCTAGCAACCTTAGTAACGCCCCTAATATTCATTACAAAGCTAAAAATCTTAAAAAAAAACACAATACATTTTTTATAAATAAAAAACTTTATTATACACTTTTATCCTTTGTATCTGATTAAAAATATTCATAAAAAATCAACAAAGAAAAACTTTCCAAGCTTATTGGAGAGTTGATTACGATGTTAGCTAGAAGCACGGATATAAGTCCCCGTGTGCAGCGTATGCATTTCTCCAACATCCATAAAAGCAAAAGAAAGAAAAAATTCCTGCAAACCGGATTGAAGTCTCGTTATCCCGAGCTGAAGGTTGATTTGTCAACTGGATAATCATATCGAGCGAAATATGAAAGCAGGTTTATCCTCTGAGCCCAGGTATTTTCCTTCCACAATTCTATATGAGGTACATACCATTCCTTTGTACGCATTATCCTGTACAACACATAATTATAATAATTATTCACAAATGATGATATACTTTATACTTTATTCCCATTGTCGCGGGAATCCTCCTAATTACCTTGAAGGATCAAAGGCTCAGCAGCAGAGAGCATCGTGGATTACGTATAGGGCGCAGACAAATACCGGAGATGATAAGTGTGTTATTACGTGCAGCGTGCAGGTTTCTTCTTTAATTTGCATTGTATAAATATTAGCATGGATATATTGAGCTAACATTAAGGTAAGACTTATAATTCTGAAAAGAGTAATTAATTATTAATAAAAGTAATTTTCTTAATAAAAAAATGATCAAATAATACTTTAGACTTAACAAGCTAAATAAAATTATCAACGACAAATTACCAATAAACTCTTTTATTAGTATAATAAGTATGGACATTGCATACGTTATCAAACTGAGACCTAGATCTAGAAATAGCGTCTGTATTTTTCGAGGCATAGATCAAACACAAGTCACCGAGCTACCCCATAATTCAATGAATTATTAACTCTCGTAATCTAACTGTGTCGCGGTTGTTGACTTAAAGAGTATCTACAGAGCATACAAACCTCAAATACCTCGTGTACTTATTATTATACTCAGCAAATAATCTTACCGGCTGTTGAATAGAAATAATTGGCAATCGACCTATCGGATTATCGATGGCCCGTAATAAATATCCATCGTTCACTTGAACGGCGCACGGCAAAATTAAGTTTATGCCCCATCTATAGAGTCCTGGCGAGGATCCAACCGGACAACCGGACAACTGGAGAATTGGAGAACTGGAGTGGTATCTATCAGCTGTACCAAGTTCACCACTGGCAACAACAAGGGATGGAAGCTTTCGGATAAAGGACAGAAGATGAAGAAAGGAAGACTGGATGCGACTGTATCTGGAGGAATGGTAAGTCATGGAAGCCTGGAGTGGCTCCAGTCAGTCATAGTCAGTCCAACTCGACTTTGATTTCATTTCCATGAAGGCTGGAGCGGTGGGAATTGTGAATGGCAAACCAGCTGCACGATCGAACAAGAAGTGATCGAGCTAGGTCCTACGTAACGTCCTGGTAGTTCTCCAGCTCCCGTTCCAGTTATGTGAATCTTCTCTTCTGTCCGTAGTTGCTCCAGATAGCGGCAGTCAGTTAAGTCCGAAGGGATACGCTCCGCTTCAATCTCTCTGATTCTGCTCACTGGAGATTTCCAGCGAAATCTCTACCGTCGATATTCACTGGAGCGAGATCTTCCTGAAGAGATCTATCTTCCTTCTGCTACTGTTCGTTGTTTTTAATCTCGGATCAACTTCCTATTAACGCTTATTACGGCTGTCTATCTTGGCTTGCTCTCATCATTGTTCTGGAGGAAGTTCGCTGGAATTAAGGGGAAGAAAAATAAAGAATAAGAATAAAAGCTTGCATATGCAGGAGCTTGATGTCGATATTTCTAGAATTGTAAATTTGAAACAATGCAAAGTTTATTTACACTTTTTAAGGGCTGCATTTTTTTCCATTTCGTTCATTTGCGGGATAGAAATTTATACATATTCTGTACTTTAAAGAAGAGACGGTGAATCGAGATGAAAAAATAAATGTTGACTCACCCCGACTTATATTTCAGGGGTGAAGACTGTTTACAAGTCCGGAATACGTGCTCAAGTATCCGAACGAGCGTGAAAGATGTGACCTACATGAAATATCAAGGTTGTACTGATGCTCCCTCCTCCCGGGGGGTGGTACTCAGCTTTTGCTACGATGAGGGCACCATCTGGCTCTGCTACACACATTGACATCTAGATTTTATTTCTTTTGATAGAATCTATAATCGATTTTGGAATTTTACTTTGCAAGTCACTGATAGAAAATTTTTTTTAGATAAAAATACTTTTGGTGCACTTAATAAATTTATTTTTTTAATATTAAATAAATTTTATCAATTAATATTTTTTAAAAATATTTATTAACAATGAATAGCTTCTATAAAATGAAAAATAAATTATTTTAGAACATTAAAAAAATTTGGAAAATTTTTTGTACTTATAATTTGTCATTTTGGTTTTTTGATTTCAATTTTTTTTCGTGACCTTTAAAATTATTTTTGACAAATAAAAAAATTTATTTTGGGACTAAAAAAAATATTTTCTAATGTAATTAATAAATATTTTTTGTTAAAAAAAATTTTCAAGGACTTTTAATTAAAAAATGCGGGTCGGAATTTTTCTTAAAACTATTTTTTATGCTTCCAAAAAAATTTTAATAGATCAAGCAAATTAATGATTTTTTTCTCGAAAAAGTGTGATAAATAAAATAAATAAATTGATAAAAATTTAATACTAAAAACTTGAAGGGATAAAAATAGAGCATAAAAATCGTGGCGTAAGTAATTGGTGCAAAGTAGACGAAGATGATTGAGATTTTATTGAGAAGTGGAATCGAATTGCGAAAGGGATGGAGGAGAATTTATCTGTCGGATATCGTAACTGTACAGATGTTTGCCTGGAGTTTAGCGTTAACATTGATTAAAATGCAAGGCGCGGCAACCCGTGAAATGAAAAAGCAACAGCACGAGCAAATTGCGCCATTGGCTCTCGCTCCAGCACATAACGCCCGTTGTTGTACCTTTCGCCTACTCGTAGTGTCACGAAGAAGCGCCGAATATCCTACGGATTAAGCGATAGGAACGGCATCCGCCATCCGATCGAGTTTGTGTATCCAATTGAAATTTTATTCCGTATAAAAATAACCTACACTCAGCAAGAAAACCTCCTCGAGATAATATACACTTTTTGCTATAAACACCACCCGTAAAATAACACATTTTTAATCTCAATGACACGAGGCTTTCATACTGAACAGGTGCAGACATATTGAGGACCTTTTTCGCATACCAAGTGTACTATGGAAAATACTAAAGTTCAAGACTTTTTAACTTCCCTCTAATAAAGTTGAAAATTTTCAATTTCGGTCCGATCAATTTCTGTTTAAAAGTATGTCATGGGATTCAAAAAACTGCGTCGAGTGCTACCAACCCCGTAAAAATCGGTTTATTCTTTCAAAAGTAATTGTAGTTTGAAAACTTAGAGAATGGTGTTTTATAAAACTTCTCGAAGAGCTCAAAAGCATAGAACAGCTAACTCTTTCAGCTTGGAGAGTTTAAAATAACATATAAATTATATTTTTGAGCTTGGAGAGTTTAATAAGGTCACTCCAACAATAAAAATCGCTAAGTACACGGAAAAAATAGATAGTAAATGCAACATAATGCAGTCTTGGTAAATGAACATGATGGAATCATGTTGCAGCAACATGATTTGTCATGTTTCGGCTACATGACAATCATGTTGCGGTAATATGAGAAAATCATGTGGCAGCAACATGATTTTCATGTAGCCGAAACATGACAAATCATGTGGCAATCATGTGGCAGCAACATGATTTATCATGTTTCGGCTACATGACAATCATGTTGCGGTAATATGAGAAAATCATGTGGCAGCAACATGATTTATCATGTTTCGGCTACATGACAATCATGTTGCGGTAATATGAGAAAATCATGTGGCAGCAACATGATTTATCATGTTTCGGCTACATGACAATCATGTTGCTGCAACATGAGAAAATCATGTGGCAGCAACATGATTTATCATGTTTCGGCTACATGACAATCATGTTGCGGTAGCATGAGCAAATCATGTGACAGCAACATGATTTTCATGTAACCGAAACATGACAAATCATGTGGTTGCAACATGATTTATCATGTTTCGGTTACATGACAGTCATGTTGCGGTAGTATGAGAAAATCATGGGGCTGCAACATGATTTTATCATGTTTATTTACCTAAATTGCATCATGTTGCATTTACAATTTATTTTTTTTCCGTGTAATTTATAAAAGACGGCGTTCGGCAAAATGAGATGTACATGTAGAAAATCATTTGACAAACTATTGAATTTCTTCTTATGATGGAACTCCTAAAGAATTTTATTATTATTGCGCATGATTGTATGCTTATATTGTATGAAATGTAATATGGACAGTGAATTTTCGGACAAAAAGTTATCAAGGTGACAATAATAATAAAGCATACTAAATAAATCATAAAACCAATCTTAGAAAGTCGATAGAAGAGTTGTAATTACTTTGTAAAACAATTTTATTCAATAGATAAGTGCATTTTTCGAGGCATAACAACTGTATGAATATATTCTACGATAGTAATAATGTTTTGTTCTTAAGATCTTTCAAAATTTACTGAACATTACAGTATATATGAACTACTACTAATTTTTCTTCCTCGAACAGAACTTCACCGATTACTAGATATTTGTTAGGCATAAAATGATCTGGCATTAATTCCATTGGTATGCTACAGCCTTGATTTCCATAAACCCCCTAGAGGAAATTAAGAAATTCAAAAAAATATTAGCGCAATTAATAAAATTAAATAGAGTTTACAGGAGATGGTGGACAATCGGTCTCGACAAATCCAAGCAAGTGTAAAATGGGACCCATTATAATAGGTTCATCGAGTATTTCACACAACTTCATTTGTACTTCGAGTCCAGTTTGTACGACATATTCACCCATCGATGCTCCTAGTATTTGAAAATGAGTCTAAAAATTAAAGAATTTAATGATGAAGACGATATTGAAATCTATTTATACCAATCGGGGAGTTACCGACAATCACATCGTCGATGATAACTTAAATTTGTAAATAAAAATTGAGAAAAATATATTTGATCGAAAAGTTATTCCTAAAGTGAATTATTATAGTTACTATTTTAATTTATTATAATAAAGATGATAAAAACGTTGATTACTTGAGTTTCCGGTGGAAATTGTTTAATTATCGAAAAGTATTGTTTAATTAACAAAAATTTGGTTGTTAACATCTATATAAACATCTGGCTCGGTTATGTATTCTTCACTAAAAGTTGGACAAAGTACATCCTCTATAATAATTTCAACAGCACCCTAAAAAATTAACAAAAACAAAAATTTATTATTGCCCTAATAAAATATTTATTGTTCTTTTGTGTAGGAATTATGTATGTGTTTAATTTAAATTTCTTTGAAAAATTTTACTCTGCACTGATAGAAGGATTTATTAACATTTAAGAAGATTTCTTTGTATTTAAGAAATCATTTCTTAAACATCATTTCGTACTATTTAAACAATATTTCTTTGTATTTAAGAAATATTTTTTAGTATTTAAGAAATATTTTTTAAATACTAAGAAATGATGTTTAAGAAATGATTTCTTAAATACAAAGAAATCTTAAATGTTAAGAAATCCTAAGTGTGTAAGAACAAAAATATATAAAAGATAATGTAACATTTAATTAAATTAACAATTTTCGAAATACCTGTATTCCAATGAGTTGAGATATGATTGCAATAAATATACCTTGAATTATTTTTTTGACAAGCATGTTTAAATAAAATATTCTAAGTTGTAGGCGTACTGATGAATTCTATAAAATAGTTACCGGAAAATTGTATCATGTGAATAATTAGCATCATCACCAGCGATCATTTATATATAAATTTAAACAAAAGTATTATATAAGATTGTGCTGCAAAGAAGATATTATAAATAAATTCCATTGTTTTTTATTGAATTAATTAGATTATCTACCCGAGTTATCTTTTTATTACATTCAAACATAATTCAGTCAATTGTTAATTGATTTATTTTATGAATTTCTGATACTCGTGACAATAGACTTTATTAGATACCGAACTATGGCATTAATCTTTATTATACAATTACAACTTTTAAAAAATTTTTCTGCACGCTTTATTCAAATCGTAATTTTTGCCATTGAACACTACTCTAATCAAATACAAAGAAAAAATTGTAATTTTTATAATATTACGTCATGAATTCCACGAAATAGCGTGGCTTATCATAGTTTTTGATGCAACAAACAATGTTAAACAATGTTAAAGATTGTGATATTAACATTGTAATACTGGTAACGTTGACAGTAAGTATTTGAATCAAGATTGGTAAGAATAAGAGAACACATTGTCATTTAATTTATTTATTTTTTTAAGGGGGAATATCACTGTGACGATCGAAAAAATAAGGTGATTTTCGGGAATTTTTTTCACAGGGAAAATAAAGGAATTTGGGGATCGGTGTGGCTTAATGTATACAGAATAAGTGAAAGGAAATTTAGTATAGACCGGATAGCTCAAATGGTAGAGTAGCCGACATGTCTTCGGAAGGTTCTGGGTTCGAATCCCAGTCCGAGCTATCTAATAATTTTTTCTCGCATATTCTATACACTCACATTAAGATGATCCTCTCCACAATCCTTTCTCAATCCTTTCCTACCAATTATCCTGTTACGTGAATGTTGGAACGCTTCACGTAATAATTATCCGTAACTCCTATTCTTTCCCGCTTCACAGCATTATTTATATTTGTTATATTATTATATTTGTTTTGGGATTTTTTTTTATTTTATTAGGGGAACATTAAAGATTATTACCCTAAATTTTTATTAAAAAATAAATAAATATTACAAAGTTACTAACGATCTCGTAGAGCACTAGAAAAAATTTTCCCCTTCATGGTCGGTTCGATAGCTCAAAACCTAAATTGCTTTTTAATCAGTAAGAATGTAGTTATTGTCGCACGTACGGAATTTGAAAAATTTTTTTAGCCGGGTTAAAACGAAAAAAAAAAAAAAACAGAAAGAATAGTGAAAAAATTTTCAGTCACCATTTTTTAAAAAATTAAAATTTTCAAAATAATTTTATAAATTTTGAACGTGAAAATTTGAATTGATTTGACCCGATAAATTATGAGAAATTCCAAAAAACCCGAAAAAAAAAAATTTTTTTTTGTCGAAATCATGTTTTTTTAAAATAACTTTTGAACTGAATTTTCGTCAGTCTAGGTGTATGTGGAACCAGAAGAAGACACACACTGCCGAGCTCTTTGATCACTGAATAGAAAAGTAAACTTGGGCGTTGGATAGGCGCCAGTTGGAGCTTCTCTGATAGTTTCTTTGTCTAGAAGACGACCCGGGGCGGTTTGTCTCCGGCTGAACCTCAGGAATAGAAGAAACAAGTTTCCTCGACCCACCTCTACCTCTACCAGCAGCTTCTTCCTAGGAAGAACAAACAAGTTGAAATAATAATAAAAAAAAAAAGACAATAACTAGAACCGATCACAAAAAATAACATTCGGATATTGGGGGAGCTTTAAAACAATACGCTCCGGATTCGGTTTGACGATTCCGAGCGGGTACCGAGAAAAAATCAAGTCACTTAAATTAAACTAAATTTATATTGGACGCTAACCACATATTGAAAAATGAAAATTATATTTATTTATTTTAAATCAAACTTTGTTACAAAACTATCAACTGAAAAGTTAAAATGTCTAAATTAAAAGTAATAAATTAATTAAATAAATAAATTATTAATTTTTTCATCAATTTAATTAAAAAGACCTTTCATCTCGTTAATGTAATTTTTTTAAATAGATTATTGATTCAGAATATAAAGCTCATTTATTTTATAATAATTAATAAAATATTCTAAAGATAAGTCTGATAAGATTTAAAAATAAATTTAATTCTTATAAATTATTGATGATATTTAAAATAGTAATTATTTTATTGCCAGAAAAAAATTAATAAATTTAATTCAAAATAATATTATTTACAATTTTATAAAAAAATAAACTTTATTATTTTATAATTTTATAAAAAATAAAGCAGTAAATTTTATTTTTAAAAAAAGGACAAACATATAAGTGAATTTGACGATCATTGTCGTAAAAATAAGGATCAACTGTCATTGACAACGATAATATGACACTGAGCGCAATATTTTTAGCATGAATTTGAGCATAATAGTATTCAGAATTCCAATTTCCCATGGGTGTCGCTCCTGGCAACAAAACAACAGGCATTCTCTTTTCCTCCGCGTTACTCTCACTGGAAATTTGTTTAAGTAAGTTCCGCGTGTGGGCTTCGCACTCAGCTCGGGAACTTCCGCGTGAATTTTTGAAATACGATACGCCGGGTTAATGGACGCGGGACCGAAATTCCCTCAAGTAAACCACCCCTGTACTGGTTATTTCTTTCGTCGGTTGTAAAAATCCTCGCCCCTCGGTATTATTTTCATATCCGAGTGAAGCATACCTAACCCAGCTCGGCTCCTTTCTCACATTCTAACTCCTGTAAAAAATAATGGTCATTACCGTGCGGACTAACAACAACGATAATTGACTTACGTGTCTGGAAAATCCGACAGAAGTTAAAATTCATTTTTACTTTTACTTTCAGTCGTTATTTCTCGTGTTTGTAAAAATATTTTTTGTGCAAAAGTGGTGGAAAATTTTTTTACACCCTTATTGAGACATTTTTTAAACACATAAAATTTATTTAAATAAAAAATAATTTTTTTATTTAAATAAAAAAAATTAAACTTTTCAAAATGATTTTTTTTGGCTTATCAATTTTTCTCTTTAATCAATTAAATTTTTTTTTCAAAGTAAATATTTATAAAAAATTGCCAAGAAATTTTTTATTTTCTAAAAAAATTTTTATTTTTTTAACAAATCAATTTTCGTACTTAAAAATTTTTTTTGTAATAAAAATATTGTTAAAATTGCTACAAAGTGCTCCTTGATAATTTTATTTATTCAATAAGTATTGCACATTACAAAAATTTCAAAAAAATGTACTTCTTTATCAAACCTTTAAATTTTTCAAGACAAACTCAATAGCGCTGAAAAAAAATTACATGTTTTATATAAAAATTCTGTCTAAAAATAATATAATTTATTTAAAGCCGTAAAATGAACGGCGGAGTAAGATAGTTCAATTTTTGAGCTCAAAAATCCAAAAAAATTTTTTCTAAAGCTTAAAAAGCTCAAATTCTCGCAAGTATACATTGAACTTACAAATATCACGAACTATTTTCCAAATTTTTCAAAAGTACATTCTTAATTTCCAAAGAAACATTATAATTAAGTAAACTTTTCCAGGACTTACGCAAAAGCTTCATCTTGCAGTTACAACTTAGTTAGCGTAACTCGGATAGCTTGTAATTAAGCTCAGGTTGATGCCAAACGCCTCAACGTTTGATATCCCAAGCAGAGTCTGCCAGATAATCGAAGGTGAATGCATTAAGTTAGATTAGCTTTGATAACCCGACGACAATTGCTCAAAATAATTCATAGGAGTTCAAAAATTAAGCGTGTAATTATCGCCGAAATATTGATCCCGTCGCGGTTGATAACTCCGAGTAAAGTGCAATTAGCCTGGTACTGTGTGTAAGGTAATTAAGGGAGCCAAATTATTGAGCATTATTTCCCAATTACTTATCGAAATGAAGGGTAACAAGCCGCGCGCCTCAGATTACAAAGCGCAAACTGTTGGGATGTATATGCATATGGATTAAGAGAATCTTGAATCAAATTCAAAGGACCGGGACCTGATCCCGGCGTCCCTATACGCCACACATACAGTAAGCTCGGGATTATATGTATGGATGGATCTGGAGGCACAGCCAGACTGTTCTATTTACATTACTGAGAGAAACTATATGCATTGAGAATTAATGATGATTGGTCAATTTACTTGTACATACATGACAGTCTCGCGCGGAGCCCTTTCATCTATCAGCCAATACTCTATTCATGGAACAGAACCACCCAGATAAGGACAAAAGCTCGAAGAAGATCAAGGTGAAGAGAGTCACGATCGAGCTTCTGTCCTTTGGCTGAGCAAGATTGCAGATCGCTGATCACGATGACAAATAGTTTCTGTCTCTTGAGAGATTAGTAACCTTCGGGATTATTATTCTGTTCGTACTGACATTGACAGCTCCGAGGGATAATCTCGGCTTGTCGGGGATTCTAGTTGTTTGACGAGTCAGTCACATACTGACTATAAGTCCGGAGATATTTATAATATTTTCTCTGATTAAAAATTAAATTATAAAA